TATCCCTATATCACCCCAATATACGATATAGTAGTTTCCATGTTCTTTTCCATTATCCCTAGATAGCACCAATGTACTATATAGTAGTTTCCATGTTCTTTTCCATCAACTGCATTCTGTGCGTGAGACATGCTGCGACTTCTTGCGACCAGAACACTTCTACCCTAGGGATCCAAATAGCCAATTGTAGGCACAATTTACAGACTTCAGGGCCCAATGTAGATGTTATATTCTATACTTGGATCCTCATAGTGTTAGTTACAACTATCACTGCCGTGTTAAGTACCGCGGCCGTTCCATAAATGATCGCTCTCAGCGTTAGTCTCTGCTTTGGTAAGGTCCTTACTGAACTTGTTCTCCCCGGGAGCTGGGCCAGGGATGGGTGATGCCCCCAGAGCGCCTTTGCATTCCTAGTTCTTGCAAGAAACGTGTGACAACAAGAGACCGTGCGGGATTTAAAGAATCAGGCAAAGCATCTTCTGCAATGCAGCGTCTCCAGCAGCACTGGTCACTTTGAGTCCCGCATGGTTACTTCACAAATTTGAACACTTTTCTGATGTTAAACCATGCGTGCTCTGTGGGCCCCAAATCCCCGAAGAATAATGTGAATCCCAAAGCCCCCGACACCCGACCACCTGGAAACCAAGACTGCGCCTGAGCCTATAAAATGAGATTTGGACACGACCACAGAGTAGTCGTCCCTGAGAACTTCCGTAAATCATGCCTCTTTGCCCAAGCACTGTTGACAAAAAATGTCACAAAATTGACAGCAACCCCTAATTTAGGGAAACCCTACACCCTACATATATACATATATTAATATATATACATATAGTCCCTAAATTCCCCTCTAAAGGAAGTGAACCCATGCCAAACAGTATAAAGTAAGCCAGGCCGAGGCTCCAGGGCTTTCGCACTGCTTGTGCCCGGAGCTTGGGCCAGACGCTTTTAGCCGGCAGGAGCAGTCACTCAGTTGGCACCCTAAGCCCTGAACCCTAGAACACTAAAACCCAAAACCCTAAATACGCTAAATACCCTAAAACCCTAGAACCCTGAAATCCATATTAAACGAGATGTTAAGGTGGTGCCTATGTGGTCATGAGTAAGCATTCAAGGCCCTCTAAACTGTCTCGCTTGCACGAAGCCACCAAGCATCATCAGCAACTGAGTCTCTGGCAGATGTCGTCTAAGCCTGCAATGGACCCCTAATCTTAACTCATTAAAGGGGGTTATATAGG